TACCAACCATTCTATATATTTTTCTTGTCTTATGTTGAGCCTTTTCCGAATTAGTTCATCTGGGCACTTTTACTCTATGATGGCTGGGCCCATCCCACTGACTAATTTGAGTATTCTTTATAATCTTTGTTATTATTCCATGATTGATCTAAAATCTGCGTACTGCCACGTGCGGTTAGTGATTACTCTGAGATTAGATAGTGCAGTAGGGCAGCCTATCAATGTTTTTTATCATCAATGATTTTAATGTTAATTTTTATGAGGAAAAACCTTATGAGGAAAAGAAACTATTTAAAAGTCAGACTGATTCGAATAGCAAAGGAAAGACAAGTGTTTTATTTTGCTTAACTTATATTTGGTTTTTAAAAATAATTTACACACAAGGAGTTTTATTTTTTGCCTGTAAAAAATAATAGTTATTTTTGAGTTTTTCATTTTAAAGCCAAGAATAATAATTATTTTCACGTTTTAAAATAAAAAGCAGCGTGTAAAAGTAAAAGGCAAATAATAATTATTTTTGAAAAAATACTATATAATGGAAAATAATATTATTTATTATTTTTTGAGTTTAATTTTAAAAGACGTATATATAGAAAGTATGCATTATATGAAGTATGAATGTTGTTACAATAATACTTAAATTAGAATTTAGACAACTTTTTCTTGCTGCGTTTTTTTTGATAATTCTTTAAATAAGTATAATTCTTGGACTCTGGCTGTTATATGTATTTGTATAAAACAACATGAAAATAAAATGTCATCATCTATTCTGACCCATCAACTGATCGAGCAGTTCGAGAACATTTTGTAGAATTGGAAGTGTTTGATTTAGAATTCTAAAGTTAATACATTTGCGCTGCTCGAACATTAAATGTTTAAACTCTGTGAACTCTTAATATGAATCTATCGTCAATATATCTATTTATATTTTCAATTATAATTATATTATAATTATATTCAATTATAATTATATAATAAAATATTAGGAATGAAGATATACTCGTATATGCTAAAGATATATTACTTAGCTAACACTGGTTAACTTAGCAGACTGATTGTTATCAAAATGAAGCAAGAAATACAAAATAGTTATTTTTTAAGCTACTAACTATTTTCGCATATATATACATATATATGTATACATCTATATATTTATATATTAATAATTATAGTAAACTTTAAGATATGTAGAAAAGATCAGTATGATACATAATTTCCATTAAAGAAGGGAAGATATACTTATGTGTATATATAAAAAATATTGTAAAGAATTTGTTTAGTTCTATATATGATGATGTTGAGAAGAAAATTATAACGAATAAACCTGCAGGTAATTATGTGTCAATAAAATTGCTTAAATATTTTAATATATATGTATAAGTTATTTATTGAAATATATATTTATAAATTATAATAATTAAAGTAGAGCCTATTAAGTAGCGCTTAATGCAACATATAATGTTTAAATTGATTGTATTTTAAGCTTTAAGAAATTGTTGCTTAAACTCCTTTTGTTAGACTAAATCTTTTTGTGTATATTTACAAAAAAAAAAATATAATATAATTAATTTTAAGTCTAAATCTAAAAAAAAAAATTCATTTAAATTAAAATTGCACAAATAAAAATAAAAAGCAATTCTTAAATTCAATCACTTCCAAATTTTAAAAAATAAAATCAACTCAATCAAACGAAGCAATATATATATACGTTACTAAAACTATATACAATATATATTTATTTATATGTATATTTACATATACATATATATGTAATTACTAACGATATGTATATACAATTATATATAAAATTATTTAGGCTTCGGAGTGTATATATTTGAAGTGATTTATTTATGTTAAATTGTGTAAAAAAATTGTAAGCTGCAAGCAACTTAAAGCAAAATAAGTTATAAAAAAATATAAAATGTATATATATATATATACCATATAATATATATATATATATAATTAATTGAAATTAAGAGATATAAAAAATATTTATGCACTATTATTGTATTTATTAATATCGTTATTAAGAATAACTTAAATAAATGTATATACATGAAAAAGCAAACCTATAATTGTTTTTAATTTTTACCTCACATTAGAAAAAATGGTATATGTATAACAATAGAATGAATGCCTTGAGAACAGCGTTTTAAAGTAATCCATGTTATTCTTATTTAAACTATTTGAAATACTCTTTATCAAAAGATGATGTATAATAGCAACGAATACAGATTATGGTAACCTGGATGATATGGTTTTGTGAAAGATTAATCTAAATACTAGGTACACACCCACGGTTTGGTACGGGTGACTAATACATCGATTCTACTTCTCATGCTCCTTTGTCCCGTTTTGTTATATATTTCTTTCTTAGCACTTCTTCCGTTTCATATTTAAGATTAAGACATAGCTTCTACTCACATGCTCCCTTGTACCGTTTTTTTATATATTTCTTTCTTATCACTTTTTCCGTTTCATATCTTTATGTTCGGTAACTTTATATAGAGATAATATATATTTATATCATAAAAATCATGCATATCAATTCAGCGATTTAAAGAAAATTTGCTTTTAACAATTCTTTCGTACGGCGATAAGCCGATATTTATATTGAAGCTTCATAAAAACGGTAATGGTATATATTTCCCCTCTATATAAGGATTATATGGAATAATTATCAAGAAGATCCAGAAAACTGTTTACAAGAAAACTCGATTAAAAAAAAATTGAGTGTTGCTCATAAATTTTGACTCCAAATGAAAATGGTATAGCCTGTGTTTGGTAGCTTTATATAAAGAGTACATATCATATATATAATGTAAATTGATTCAGCGGTTTAGAGAAAACTTCGAATTATAGCATAAACATTCCATTGAAAAAAGTACTACCAGTATCTTAATATATTTTCATTTTTCCGAGTAACTTTTCCAATTTTTCTCTCCGTAACAACCTGATCCGAACTATAACGAATATTTTTTAAAGAAAGTAGCCAAATTGGTCTATCAATAAACAAGAAATAATCAATTTATTTATTATATAGATGATCCAGATCTATAATGTAGAGATCTAATAGACTTTATAAACACAGAAAATCGAAACTTCAACAGGAAACAAAAAAAGGAAGAGTAACTTCTATTGTCCATTTTCAGCAATGATACCGTTTATAGGTGCTAAAGAAGCTAGAAAGGATTTGAACTGAAGCCTAGGACGTGAAAGGTTGAGCGCATGGTCTTTGAGAACATACACTTATTAATACATAGTTACTTGTTTCTTAGTAAGTATGGTACACTAAAATGTTACCAGAAAAAAAAAATAGGTTTATATTAAGTATCTTGTAACATCATCTATATCAAACGATTTTATATGAAATTAGGGAAGTTATTGTAAGTGGATAACGTCATCTAAGTGCTGAGTCATCTCATTAAAACTTCAACGATATTCAGTCACTATTTTTAATTTTACAGAACTCGACTCAATTACTTTTAGTGACTATAATCTATTTGGATAACTAAAATTTATGCTAACAATCTATAAATGTCTTTTTATGGGAGGCATATAATCAAATCAAAGGTATATAGAGAAATAAATCTGTTCCTGACTATGGTAAGTTGATCAGACGCTATATAATAATTCAACATATATTAAAAAGTAGTGACAAGAATATTTTTTAAGTATAAAAGATATATTTAAGTATAAAAGATATTATAAACTATATTAACATAAAGAAGTAGTCTTGCCGATCTTAATGATAGCCAAACGACTATTAAAGTCTGTCAGTCTTCCACCGTAAAATCAAAGCTAGCTAAAGGGTACATAGTGGACATTGACAGACTAAATTAATTAGCTGATATCACTTTCAAATATTTTACCGGGTTCGATACACGTTGTAACCAGTTTTCGATGTCTTAAATTCCGTTAAGAGATGTACTTACCTCTAATATTTTTAGCTATTTTATAAGTGGACAACATTTACGTGTCATTGTGTGCAATTTCTCGGTCGAATAGGCCTTCATGGCCAGTTTAAGGCAACTCATTAATAGTGATCACATCTCTCTACTCCTTATAGAAGTTGTACAAATTTACATGAATAGAAAAAAAATCAAGCATATCCTCTGACTACTTTGCTTTCAGTTTCAGGAAAATTAGGTTTTGAGTAAAGTACTTCATTGACAGTTTTTGGAACTGTTCATCGGTAAGGATTAAAAACCCGATTAATAAATTTGAATCAAAAAAATCAATTAAATTAAAATTAATAAATTAAAATTAATAAAAAAATGTTTGTAGTTCACTACTGTTTGAAACCTCTCTATTAAATGCAAAAACTTCTATTAAGTAAAATAGTAATGCCGTCATAACTAATGTTAAAATAAAAGTTAAAAATAAAAAAAAAATAAAAGTTGTAAGTTATGGTATAATACATAACATATTAATAATAATAATAATAATACCAAATAATAATTATTTGGTACAAATAAGTTCTTATACCCATAAGCAAAAAAAGTTATAGATTTCTAAATAATAATAGTTTATTTTTAACATTCAGTGGATAATAGATATTAAAAAATATTATTGCAATTATTTTAGTATATATATGTATTTATAAATTTTTCTACAAGCACACTCTCAAATATATATATATCTATATATATATGTATATGTATGTATATTTATATAAATATACAATTATTAATAGTCAATATAACAATTATTTATTAACTTAACTTTAACATTTAAATTAATAATTGCATTAAATATTAATAAATTTATAAATATAAAAAATAAAATTTGCAAAACAGTATATAATAAATCTGTAAATATTTATATACCATATATATTTAAAAATTTTAAAAGAAAAATTATAAATTTTTGTTAACTATAAAATCATTAATAAAATTTTTCCAACACGCATACAGTCAGCATATAATATATATATTGTACATAAATAGATTTATATAAGCATAAATTTAACTATTATATTACATTATAAATATAACATATACAATTTAGGATTATTCAGTTAATTTCTTACATACATACTATAGTATATTGTTCTGTCTAGATATAAGCTAATAATTCGATGTTAAACATTTTCGACGATTTTTACGCATTCTTTCAATGTTTTCTTTTATTGATGTTTCTATAAAAAAACAAGTTACAATTGTGGTAACAGATAAAACTGTTGTCATAAATTGATTAATTGAAATCTCCCAAGTGTCCAAGTCAACAAAATTGTTGTCATTTGTGCTAGTGCCAGCATTTCCAGAACTGTTAGAAGCGCATGCTAAGCGATACTGCTCTTCAAATGCCATAAATAGACGAGTAGTAGAAGCAGGTTCTGATGGTGTAGTCGGATTCCCATTCGTGTCAGGCTAAAAATGAAACTCAATTATTAAGCGAAATTTAAGTATGATCGAAAATAAATACTAACCTCATCGTTACTAATGTTGAGCTGTGTAAAGCTTTCCAAGCTTGATTCTTTTTTAATGGTATTGTTACCCATCTCCAATAAATTTTCATCTAAAATAACGAGTTTGTATCAATTTTATTTTAATAGCGTATACGTATTACTTACAAGCTTTTCGCATATCAGCATCTTGCTCTCCTACTATTTCCACTAAACTTTGCCATAGAAACTGAAAATTGGCCTTTTTCATGTTTGGTATTTTACCATTTGGCGAATTGGAATCGGGTTGGTCGAATAAATAACCCAAGCTACCCAAACTTTTGGTATCCGTAGTCGAATCGGAACGTTCCATTTTTGTCGTATTCACTAAATCACTTATTTGTGAATAATTTGATATTGTTTCCACGTTAAGATGCGGTGGCGTTACTTTAGCTGCGCCTAAATCTGAAATATCTGAGAACGTATCAATCGATTCAAAACGTCCTTGTTGGCGGAGGCCATCAATTAAGAGCCCTGAGCTACTACTTGCGCCATTTTGTGATTTGGCAACATACTCCTCCTCGCTCGGTAGATCTACATAAAATGTAGATGTACGCGCATTCAATGCTGTTGATGAAGCATTTGAATTTGTCGACAGATTCGGTGTGCGTATCGGATCCACAAATGTACTACCACTGATACCAGCCAAATTGTGCAAATGCTGTGTGGCACTCGCTAAAGCGAAATCTTCATCAAAGTTTTTGTCAGAAGGTGAAGGTAGCGCTTCAATTGAATCCGTAGGATCATCACTATAAAATAGAGTAAATTCAAATTTTTGTTTTGTTAAATCAGTTGAAAATGGTATACCAAAAGAAATCTTCTGCTTCAAAAGCTTCATCAGCATCATCTTTAGTCTTTGTAATTGGTTGACGTGTATGTTCAATCTCAACTTTTGATAATAATGGCGGTAAATGGAGTATGTAGAGTAATTTTAGCTTTTCTGTATATTTCGATGAGCAAACGAGACCTATTGAATTCAGGATCTGTGAAAAGCTTAGTAAACCAGTACTTTTTTTGTCTGTTAACTAAAAATAAAAAAGTTATTTACATGTTTTAATAACTAAAATTTTTATTAATAATTTTGTTTTTAAAACGTTCTAATTGATCAATTGTACTCTCCAATACTTATTTACATCTATAGGATACCTCGCAGGCTATAACTACAAAATATAGTCCAAATATTGTTGTAAATAACATTTTTTTAAAAAAGTATATTATTTAACAATTGACTAATTAGCCCGTTTCAAAAACAAAATTACTAAGAAATATTATTTAAATTTCAAATTAATAAATTTGATGTTATTCTAACCCTAAAGAGTTTTTCAGCCAAGTCAATTGTAGCGTATGAACGCCATGGTGTTAGCTCATAAAATAATACCCTAAACGTTTCGAAATCTACATTGTAAGCTTCGGCACGACTGCAGTTATCCTCTGGAAAAGGACGTGGATGCATTGGTGAGGATAACAGTATAGGAGATTCACTCGTTCCTTGCGTTTTTTGCTGATTAACTTTACGAAGAGCCATTTTTTCCTCACGTATAATTTCTAATAGCATATGCAATTCCTCTTTTTTGAAATACATGTTTTTTTCATGTGCTTTGACTACTGTGTTTTCATTATCGATATCGAATTGGCGTAGTGTCAGACGTCGATGCTTGTTACGTAGTTCTTCAATATTTTGTAATGATATCTTAGCACCAAATTTTGTATATGCCTCATGTATTAATGTTTGTACTGTCTGTGTGTGTTGACGTGCAGCTTTACGTTTCTCAGTTGGCGCAGGTAATTGATATTCAGGATTATAAATGCCTTCCAAGAATTTTGTCAATACGAGCATTGCTTCACCATCGTCGTTGCAATGTAGCAATTTATCACGATTCCATTCGAGAATTTGCAAAGCAATCTACAAGTATATAAAAAAAATATATGGTTATTCTTTGATTTTAATCATTAAGAAAAAGTTTTTAATTTACCACAAATATAATTTTGGCACCATCATAGAAGAAACAATCGATAATATGTAACGAGCTTTCATACGATATAACACTAATGAAAATAGTTAGAAACCATGAAAGTGAGATCATTTTTATAATGCCCATTTTATCCAGATGGACATGCAGTTCTGGTAAATGCGTTTCAACTAATTCATTGAGTACACCTTGATCAATCTGTAAGAAATAAACAAAGAAATTAACATTTATTACATATATTTTGAAATAGATTTTAACATACCTGAGCTCCTACTACTCTATCCTTATAGTAATCCTGTAACAGGTTCTCACACAAACTGGCTAACATCCAAAATGCATTCTCTTCATCGCAATACAGTAGAAATACAGAGGAAACAATATTCATGGCTTGACAATAGCCAACTTGTGGATTACGCAGCGCATATGCTTGCAAAACACGTCGTAATGCACCTATACCATCAGAGTGCTGGAATGCAGGATGTTCAGGTAGAGAACGATGCAGATCACGATCAATTTCATCATGTATGACTGAGTGCTTAATACATGCAGCCTACAAATTATAAAATGATAAATTATTAATAACAGTATTCAAAACAGCTTGCTATATGGTATATATAAATATTACTTTTTCTACTAGATCTTCATATAGACCTGGATTCATTTCTTTTTCATGTATGGCACCAGAAAATATTAACCAAATTTCCTCTCTTAATTTATCTGGTATGCCTTCCACTATAAGATTAATTACTTCTGTTGTGCGAAACATGGATATGCCACGCCCAAAATCACGAAAATGTGACTCCCAACGCGCCATCTATAAAATGGTAACACAAATTACTTTATATAGACATTATAATATTATATTAGATATAAATTATTAGAAATAATTAAAAGAAAAATATAAATGTTATAAACATAAATTATTATTTTTATAAATATTTTATAGATAAGGAATTGCGAAAAGGTCAAGTAATGATTATGAGATTAAGCAGTTTTTACCTATATGACATACAACGGTGGTAGCCCAGCCAATGTGAAATTAGATAGTAGTCTTAAGATGTGGTAGTAATACCACAAATAGATTTTAATGTACACTAACTCTCACCTATCACCTATCAGCATATATAAAATAGATTTATCTCATATTCCTTTACTTCCGCCACCGCATCTCAATATGTAATTTTTATTATTATTTTATGTGCTTTTTTGATCAGCGTGAACTACAAAAACAATTTCAAGGCACGTTCAGCCAGGTATCCAGAGAGAGTACCGAAGAATTACTTCTAAAACCGCACACGTCTACATCCCAGAACCACTTGTCGAGTTTGACGACTAATTACCGTTCAACATTTTTAGAAGAAACTATATCAGCAGGTACGAGGTTTGAGGGCTACCACAACAATAACAGCAGGGGCTGAAGCAACCCCAAATGAATCAAAAGACTATATTCGACTGTTTTTATTTTTTTTACGAGTCTGATCACATTTACTGATCTTAACTGATTTTTTTTAAATAAAACATTTATAATATATGATCGCGTTTCTGTCGTGTTAGTATGGAAATTGTATGGGACAGCGAGAAGTGATCTAAAACAATCAATTGGATCCAAGAAAAATCGCGTCAACGTCCCGAAGCCACTTGTAAATTTCGAAGATAAAAGTACCATTCACCACCCCCAAAGGGCCTACACAAACCCCGCAAGCTATATCAACAACAACTACCAACTACTTTGTGCTCAGCGTGGTTCCTTTGCATCGCCTTTTTAAAATATTCTGCGCCTAAAACTATTTTAATTAAGCTTTAAAAGAAACCCACATCTATGAAGGTTACTGCAAAAGGGAGGCGTGTGCAATTTTTAGATTATTTACTGTTACTGCGGTTACCAAGAACATCCTTACTAAACCAAATATCTAACCAAAATAGAACATATTGTTACCTTTTCATCTTGTATTTTCAGCATTTCAGCGCTGAATTCAGTTTTAAAAATTTGAATTAAAGCAGTTTGTTTGCCCCATGATATATCGTATTTGGGACGCTCCCGGTTAACAGGTCTGTAATAAAATTTCATAATGGATTAGAAATTGTTTTTGTCATATATTTATAACATATATAACATATACTTACAATTCAAGGCGTGATAGTAAATTTGATATTTTCAATATAAGCGTTTCACGGTCAACAATTTGAGCGAAGATAAATGGAAGAGTATCGGTTGTTATCACTATTTGATTATCAAACCGATGTGGTCCATCATCTTTTTTTTGGGCGGTCTATATATAAATGAATAAATAATTTATATTTATAATTTTAATATTTAATTATATTTATATGATTATTAAAATTTATTTCAGAAGATAAGCTTTTTGAAAGTGAAGTAAGTATAGTTGCTGTTAACGTAGCAGTGAGAAAACCACTAGTGAACAAGTGCAGTTCACTTTTCCTGTTGAAGTTTTCCGCTTGTATGGGATGCGAAGCAAACAGGTTAACCAAAGAACAGTCTGTTTTGAAATTCATTGAGTAATCCATTCTCATTCCTAAATAATCCCCTCCCCACTAACACAATCAATACCTGTCCACACCATAACCTATGTTATGTTGTTGGTTGTTCTTGTCATATGAACTAAACAGTTTTTTAAAAGGACTGTCTTTTTTGAGACTCGTTACGTTTTGAGACTCGTTCACTCTCACTTATAAGTAATCCCCTTCCCTCCCACACAACCAATAACCTATCCATATCCTAACCCATGTAGCCGTATTGTAATTTCTTTCATTTTATCTGCTTTATAAATCCCTGCGGGGTACAACAACAACGACAGCCAAAATATAGAACAACAATGTTCTTAATAGATCTTTTCTTGTCCACTTGAAGTCGTTTCTTGCCTTAATTGCAAAGCTACTCTGCATGACGTCGTTCATTTAATTTCATGTGTAGAAGTACACATATCTTTGAATCCTATTTATGGCTCCGGTCCCTGAGGTGACAAGTTTTCCTTACCTGTATTCAGTTTACTACTTATCATGTTCCTACTTATTTCAATATCTTTATTCATCGTTCGCACCTATTACGCTATGCTTATTTTTATCTAACACCACAAAAGTCTTCCCATCCCACATTATTGTACACTGTTTACATCTTTTTTAATCTCGCGTTTTATATATAACATAGTAATGTAGGTATGTATGATATATAAGACATATTCACACATATTTCATAAATCCCACCCATCCCAATTCACCACTTCTCCCATATTCCTCCTCTCCCACCTTCAAAATCCTAACCCATAAAATCGTCTTGTAAATCCTTTCTTGATATCTACTTTTTGGTCTCAGGGGGGTACAGCCACAACAAGTTTTAAGTCTCAACAATAACTTTTTGTATTAAAAATTCTTCTCACTAGTGTCTTTCTATGTTATCAGAACAATTTTATATTTGATATTTTAGTTGGTTTTTAATATACCTTTATATTCTTCATGGGTATAACAAGACTGACTAAGTCTTTTACATCACTTCGGAAACAGAAGAAATTTGCCGACAAATATATATATCCACTAGCAAATCGTTTGGAATAATGTGTCCATAAATTAGCTGAAAAACAAGAAATAAAAATCACTCACCAAACTAAACATTTTGGATAGTTACAAATACCTTTAATCTGACCATCAATAATTTCCGATCCTGGTAAACGAAAATACATGCGATATTCTTCCGATTTTTGTCGTGCTGTTAGATCCCGAAGTAAGCCTGGTTTGTTGGACTTCTTACGGCCTAAACGTTGGAAATTTGTTGGTTCATGATCAACAATGGGACTGTCAGGATTCTATATATATATTATAAAATCAAGATATTACGACTTCGCAAAGTTTAAGTTAAAATGTGTTGATATAACATACTTTTATTATTTGTTGGATAGCCATCTTACTTAATTGCTCTAATAAATCGTATGCTTCTTTAGCACCAAATAAAAGTGTAAATTTATACTGAATTGCATTGTTTGTTTTTATATAAATTGTGCTGCCATATAATTTTATTTCTTGTAGTTCCGCAAAACGTATTACACGCTTCGTTTCCTGACCCAGCATATAAGAATAGAAGCAGATGTGATTTAATGATATATATAAATGACCCTGCCTTGGTATTTTATTAACATAGCTGAAAAGATAGCAGTAATTAGTTAAATTTTTATTTACTTTTATTTATTTATTTTCTTTTTAATAATTTAAGTCTTACGTGCAGGAATACGTGTTCACCAATTGCTCTTCCTCTGGCATGTTAAACAGTTGTCGAAATTTGGATACTGTAATCTTGAAGTTTGCCGATTCATACCCATCATCTTGATTATTTTGGGCGCACAGAGATTGTATTTTACAATTTGTAAAATTCGTGATATCCTCCTCACTTCCCATCTCATTCAAAACGCTAAACAAGTTTTCTGACAGCCATTCCCAATCTTGGTTGATTTCTTCGAAAGTGATTCCGACTGCAATTTCTGTTGTAAAAAAATTGATGAAGAAAATGATTACATTTTGATTGGAACAAAAAATATATATATGTAAATTTTATTATTTCTTAATTTAAATTTATTGAGAGATGTTAAGTACGTGATGATGTGACCACTTAATAGAAACTAAGTGATTGCTGAGTTTAAGCACATCATTCTTTGGTTCATCCTTGTTACGAACAGGTTGTTTTCGTAAGGAACTTCTGATATTTTTCGATATTAAATTATTTAGACTTCTCGAATACCGACTAATCTAGAGTTCTTGCTATAGCCTGCTGGGACCTGCTCATGTAGTCCGTTTGGGAGGTATCGAACGGCATTTGGTCATGGATAATGCGAGTGGCTCCGGCACATAGACTTGACTGTTCTTAATATAGGTTAGATAATATCTGCTTCTTAAATTCGGCGCATGTACAGAAAAAAAGGATATAGTTTTTTTGTAAACAATATTGTTGAGAATTTTAATTCTGGCCGTTTGCTCTTTAATAGCCCATAAACCAGTAATCACTGCCTTCAAAAATTCCTATAATTTTTGTTTCATAGCGGAAAACTTTTCTTAACATTGTAGTAAATCGATATGGTGGTCTACTAGTCGTATATGGTTCTGGCTAGATTTTCGGCTCTTTGATTGGCCTTCATATTCCACAGTCACAAGACTCAGATCAGAAAAATATTACGCTGTTCGCTTAGGGTTGTTAGGTCTTTTTTTTAGTTTATTCCATTAAGTAAAAAGTTGTCTTCTTGTCTTCTTTTGATAACTTGTCTGTTATCAAAACGTATAAGAAGTATTATATACAATATATATATATATATGATATATATATATGATATATATATGATATATGATATATATATGATATATGATATATATATGATATATGATATATATGATATACTTATATGATATGTGTATGATATTTATATGATATATATGATATATATATGATATATAATATATACAATACATATAAAATATATATATATACAAAATAATGCAAGCACAGCAATAAGTAAATCTTATTCTTATGCTTTGATTCTATAACCATAATAATAGTGGTATATTTGATTACTACTTATACGTGTTTTTTATTAAATACAATACATATATATAATACATATTATAATGATATATGTAAATACATTAAAAACAAATTGTG